AGCGCCAACGCAAACGTCGCAATAAATAAAAACAAATAAAAAATCGCCCGCCCGCCGTAAACCGCAAAAAAACGCAAAAACGCCGAAAACAAATCAAAACCGCCCGCATCGCCCGCCCGACCGCCACCAAACAAACACCGCCGCAAAAAACCGCCCGCATCGCACGCCTGCCCGCCGCCAACCGCAAAACGCCGCAAAAAACGACCGCGTGCCGATAAACGCAAACACCGCAAAAACGCAAACGCCGCCGCAAAAAACCGCCCGCCCGAATCGCACGCCTGCCCGCCGCCAACCGCAAAACGCCGCAAACGCCGCAACAAAGGAAACCGCCCACATCGCACGCCTAACCGCCGCCAATAGGAAAAGCCGCAAAAGGCCCTACCCTACCCTACCAATATACATACCCTACCCATACCCTAGTCCTACCCATACCCTACCCATACCCTACCCTACGATTACCTTATACCCTACCATACCGAACTTTACCCTATCATACCCAACTTTACCCTACCCTACCCAAACGGCAAACCTACCTCTACCCTATCCTACCCATACCCAAAACTACCTCTATCCTTTACAATACCCTACCCATACAATACCCTACCCTACCCTACCCTACCCTACCCTACCCTACCCATACCCTACCCTTCCCATACCGTACCCTACCTATACCCGGCATACTCATGCCCTACTCATACTTGACCAAAGAGTTTCACAACATTTGAGTGCTGTCGTCCTACCGGTTCTTGAGATATATAAATGGGCCCCTGCACGTGCGCACGCGCTTACTGAGACTCCAGATGACTTATGTAAGCCACCTGTCTAAATTGTCCCTAACAGTGTACAAAATGTGAGTGAAATCGGCCCAGCCGTTCTTGAGATGTAGAAAGGGACCCCACACGTGCGCACGTGCATGAGTCCACCCCACCTGTGACACATGACCGTACATCGCTTGGTGAGTGCCTTGCCTGCCGAAAGTCCAAGTTTCAGCGCAATCGGCCCAGAAACGACTGAGTTATATGCAAGTACAATTTTCAAGGGTTTGCGATATCCCTAAGCGGGCGGTGCCTTGCAGCCTATGCCGTGCTGACTGATAGTCAAATGTTTAATGACATGCCGGCTATAAGCCATCGATCGGATTTCATCGGAAAATATGTCTAACGTTAACAAAACACTGTGGTATGCCTGAGTCATTTTCACGGTAGTTTATTGACTTTTTGATAATATTTTGGGTGGATATTGATCAGAAAAGAATGCGCTATCCGAATATGTGCGTTTCATGGTCAATTTTTAACGTTTTCGATGCGTTATGATGTTGTAAAGGACAGCGCACTCTGCGCGCATCACACTTTCAAATAAATTTTTCATTATTAAGGAAGTGGTAGTAAAAATCACTTTTTCTTTTCATTCATTGCATCACACGTGCAATTACCTAAAAAATGGTGCCATACCGATTTCATTCGGCCAAACCGTTTTCAAACGGCACCGATTTTATGTCTACGAGGCACGAAATCGTCCATTTCTGTACAACAAAAGGTCCTGATGTGCACGTGACGCGACCAACGTTATAAAACTATATCAATACGGTAGCTTTATCTCTCCTCTATCGATCGGTGGCAACCGCGTGTCGCTGTGACCACCGGTCGTCAAGATATAGGCCCGGAGAGGAGCAGGCGTCGGAGCGATTTCGGCCGATGTCGCCGTTTTTCGCGCCCCGTGTTAAACCAATGGCGAGCGTGCCTCGTGCTCGCGACCCTGCCAGAGACGCACCCTTGGTCGGATCGCGCCCAAATTTTAATACCATCGTTCGATTTGACCACGCTTGGTGCCTGCCAAATTTCACGCCCCTACATGGCGCCGTTCCGGCGCAAGACACCCAGATGTGGATGACACTTTTCGTTTGTGACACACAGACAACTTCTCTTTTATAATATATCCGACTAGAATACAGGTTTACGCGATAACTGTATAGGTTCGAGATATATTAAGGGGATTATCAGTTTGGTTGTCAAAACTTCTAGGTTTAATAAGTAGAGTTTGGTAGTTTCTTCATTAAACTGTATAGTAGGTGTGTATGGCTTTTCGAGGAGCAATTGAGATCCGAATGTTGGGACTTTGAATTGTGAAACGCCGCCCGCCCGCCGCAAAACGCAAACACCGCAAAATGCGCCAAAGGCACGCCCGAAATGCCGACGCAAACGTCGCAAAAAAATAAAGAATCGCCCGCCCGACGCAAAAAAACGCAAAAACGCCGCAAAAATAAAACCGTTCGCATCGAACGCACGCTAACCGCCAACCGAAAACGCCTAAAAATCGCCCGCCCGCCACCAAACGCAAACACCGCAAAAAAGCGCCCGCTCGCCCCAAACGCAAACACCGAAAAAAGGAACCAAAAAAGCGCCCGCCCGCCCCAAACGCAAAACGCACGCCCGAAGCGCCAACGCAAACGTCGCAATAAATAAAAACAAATAAAAAATCGCCCGCCCGCCGTAAACCGCAAAAAAAACGCAAAAACGCCGAAAACAAATCAAAACCGCCCGCATCGCCCGCCCGACCGCCACCAAACAAACACCGCCGCAAAAAACCGCCCGCATCGCACGCCTGCCCGCCGCCAACCGCAAAACGCCGCAAAAAACGACCGCGTGCCGATAAACGCAAACACCGCAAAAACGCAAACGCCGCCGCAAAAAACCGCCCGCCCGAATCGCACGCCTGCCCGCCGCCAACCGCAAAACGCCGCAAACGCCGCAACAAAGGAAACCGCCCACATCGCACGCCTAACCGCCGCCAATAGGAAAAGCCGCAAAAGGCCCTACCCTACCCTACCAATATACATACCCTACCCATACCCTAGTCCTACCCATACCCTACCCATACCCTACCCTACGATTACCTTATACCCTACCATACCGAACTTTACCCTATCATACCCAACTTTACCCTACCCTACCCAAACGGCAAACCTACCTCTACCCTATCCTACCCATACCCAAAACTACCTCTATCCTTTACAATACCCTACCCATACAATACCCTACCCTACCCTACCCTACCCTACCCTACCCTACCCATACCCTACCCTTCCCATACCGTACCCTACCTATACCCGGCATACTCATGCCCTACTCATACTTGACCAAAGAGTTTCACAACATTTGAGTGCTGTCGTCCTACCGGTTCTTGAGATATATAAATGGGCCCCTGCACGTGCGCACGCGCTTACTGAGACTCCAGATGACTTATGTAAGCCACCTGTCTAAATTGTCCCTAACAGTGTACAAAATGTGAGTGAAATCGGCCCAGCCGTTCTTGAGATGTAGAAAGGGACCCCACACGTGCGCACGTGCATGAGTCCACCCCACCTGTGACACATGACCGTACATCGCTTGGTGAGTGCCTTGCCTGCCGAAAGTCCAAGTTTCAGCGCAATCGGCCCAGAAACGACTGAGTTATATGCAAGTACAATTTTCAAGGGTTTGCGATATCCCTAAGCGGGCGGTGCCTTGCAGCCTATGCCGTGCTGACTGATAGTCAAATGTTTAATGACATGCCGGCTATAAGCCATCGATCGGATTTCATCGGAAAATATGTCTAACGTTAACAAAACACTGTGGTATGCCTGAGTCATTTTCACGGTAGTTTATTGACTTTTTGATAATATTTTGGGTGGATATTGATCAGAAAAGAATGCGCTATCCGAATATGTGCGTTTCATGGTCAATTTTTAACGTTTTCGATGCGTTATGATGTTGTAAAGGACAGCGCACTCTGCGCGCATCACACTTTCAAATAAATTTTTCATTATTAAGGAAGTGGTAGTAAAAATCACTTTTTCTTTTCATTCATTGCATCACACGTGCAATTACCTAAAAAATGGTGCCATACCGATTTCATTCGGCCAAACCGTTTTCAAACGGCACCGATTTTATGTCTACGAGGCACGAAATCGTCCATTTCTGTACAACAAAAGGTCCTGATGTGCACGTGACGCGACCAACGTTATAAAACTATATCAATACGGTAGCTTTATCTCTCCTCTATCGATCGGTGGCAACCGCGTGTCGCTGTGACCACCGGTCGTCAAGATATAGGCCCGGAGAGGAGCAGGCGTCGGAGCGATTTCGGCCGATGTCGCCGTTTTTCGCGCCCCGTGTTAAACCAATGGCGAGCGTGCCTCGTGCTCGCGACCCTGCCAGAGACGCACCCTTGGTCGGATCGCGCCCAAATTTTAATACCATCGTTCGATTTGACCACGCTTGGTGCCTGCCAAATTTCACGCCCCTACATGGCGCCGTTCCGGCGCAAGACACCCAGATGTGGATGACACTTTTCGTTTGTGACACACAGACAACTTCTCTTTTATAATATATCCGATTCGTGATTATTGATTGAGATCGAACGGCTGTTATTTTTGCTCCATTGGAAAACATCCTCGTGGCATGCAGTCTTATCTGTCAATGCATTGTCCGTCTCCATTTACTCAATGATCAGATTTTTCGTTACCTGTCACTCCATTCAGGTGTTAGTTAAAGGCTTAAAATTAAACCTTTGTATATGCACATTTGAACTTGGCACCCTGCACCCAGAAATCAACAAATCAGCTCTCGGTTTAGCATTACGTGTCAGAGCCTTCCTGCCAGCTGCCAGCCTTTCTGCCAGGCCACGTCATTGGCCGCCCCGCCCCAGGGCACCGGTTCTCCGCTCTTCCCCACGCTCTCCCCACGCCCTGTGCACTCACTCCGTGGGTGCACTCCATGCGCCGGCCGCCGTGCCGGTTCGAGTCGGCTCTGTTCCGGCGGTGACCGATCACGCTGCCGGGCTGTGGTCGGAGCTCCGCACAGAGCTGTGATTGGCTGCGGCGCCGGTCAGCGGCCGGGCGGCGGGCGGATCTCCCCGCCGTCCAGCCGAGCTGGCACGCGCCACGCACCTGACGGCCGCCAGCACGCACTGCCCACGTGACCATCACGCCGGTACGCGCCGGTCTTGCCCGACCGAGGCGGACAGGGAGGAGCGGCGTGCCAAAGAGCGGCCGCGGCGAGCGCCTTTGGAGAGACGCAGTTCCCCATCGGTGCTGAACCTGATCGGTTGTCTGCTGGCCAGCGCCGATCACTACAGGCTGTGTTTTGTACCGTGATTTGATACAAGTGTGAGAGTTCGCACTGCACGTTGCCCTTCGTAGACAGGTATGAGACCTGTGATTTGCTCCTCGGGGGCGTAGGTCAAGTCATATTTCGCCTCCCTTTTCACCCCGTATAATACTCGATCATGAATATTACCATCGACCAGTTAACAAGTGGAGCCTTTTGCCAAGCCATCAAGACAGTTCCGATTCGTATATGTGTAGTTTAACATGAAAGTAAATGATACATTATGCAACTTCAATAAATCCCCATAGGCTGTTGAATTCTACTAGAGTTCAGCCAAGCGATAACTTTAGTTATCCATAAGCGGCGGAACGAGGGGGGCACCGGGGCACTGTGCCCCCCTTGGATTTTGGCATTTTAACATTAGCCCTATGGTCGTTGCATGGAAAAAATGGGACCAAAAGTCGGCAATGCCCCCCCCCCCTTTAATTGAAGGAGTTCCGCCGTCACTGAAGTTATCTTAGCCAGGCCTTAATGTCATAGGCACCAGACATTTCATCCGTTCAATCGCGTCCAATTGTTCCGTAATTAATTGACGTTTTAAAAAGCAAATGCACTAAATTCATGCCGTCATGACTTAATCAAGTTACAGGAAAGTAGAAATATGAGCATCCGGTTATTTTTTCATTTATTTGTATGCATTTTGAGGACTTTAACCCGCGCACCGACGGGGGGGGGCGGATATCCGCCCCCCCCCCCTGAGGTTTTTCGCGAATAGCGGGAAAACCGCGGCGCGAAATTTGGTACGACTATTTTCTCATCAATTTTACACATGGTGTGCAAGTTTGAACCTCCTAACTTAGAAGGTCAGGTCACCAGGTCACTTTGAATGACCCAACCTCAAGTCACTTTTTTGCAACTTTGTCACCGTGCCAGAGCTACAGTAGATGTCGGAGGCCTTTGAAAGTCGCAGGATGTTATTAGGTCATTAGTAGCTACAATTTGTATATCTCGGAATTTTGATGTCGGTGACCTAAGGTCGGGTCAATTTCGCGACCTCCCCATTATAAGTCAATGGGGGGAAAATCAACTCCCTGTTTTTACCACTAAAACGGGTCGGAATGGCCCCATATACCATACATGACTTCATATACGATCAACCTTCACTACCTTGAGGTCTGTTTTGCTGTTGGGCAGCTGTAAGGTCATGTGACGTCATCAAAGGTTACCAAAGGTTTTTTGCCAATAACTCCGCACAGGAACAAGATACAGCCGCGCGGATGGTCTCATTGTGTTCAGCTCGTCAAGACGCATCGAATGATATACATGATGACCTCGAGGTCACGTGACCTGAGGTCAACCTTTGACCTTGACCTTTCGAGGTCAACATATATATCATTCGATGCGGATTGACGAGAGGATCACGATGATGCCCTTAGTTTGTTCCTATCTTGACTAATTCGAAAGTTATTCGAGAAAAGCTCTCTCCATATCTAGCGCCGCCATTTTGACTTTTTCGACCCCTGTGACGTCATCTTTGACCTGACCTGAAAATGACCGTAGTAGAAAGCGAGCACGCACTGCCGGTGGCGGGCAGGGCGAACGCCACCGGTCCCACCTGTCGGCGGGTCACGTAACTACGGCCATGTCCGTGCGTATCCGATGCCGTTTACCGCTTGTCGCTATCTTGCTTCGTTCTCGAGATCTCAGGGGGGGGGGGCGGTCATCCGCCCCCCCCCCCCCCGTCGGTGCGAAGCTGGCGCAGACCCCCGTCGGTGCGCGGGTTAAATGAAACATTGAAATTCATGAAAGTAACCTTCTATAGCTGGAACATGGCTGGAACTATGGAATTGCAATTATCACTCGTTTTGCCTTTGAATCGTTCCAGTGGTATTTTACGAAATATTTACCGTCGCTGCTTCGTTTTCAAGTCAGGTAAATGCATGCAATGATTTCTTGATCATTACATTTCATGTTTCAAACCGATGTCTCAATGTGTACAACATTCGCAACGTTGGATCTTAAAATCTATCGGAAATACATTGCTCTCAGCCACAAGCATGGGCCAACGTAAGGCAAATCTATCAGAAATAAGCATTCCTGTTTGTATAACATGAGAGATTTACCTAACAAACCCCAGCCAAGAAATACGCAACCCTTTCAATTTTTTCCGTAACTATTGGTGCAAAAACATTTCAGCTGTGCTGCGTTAGCGAGACGCTTCTTCTGCTGGTGTCTAAGATTGTCTGATCAGCCGAATCGTTTCCAAGTATCCTTTGTTTTTGTTTCCTAGCAAAACAAGCCGATGACTTAATCCAGATATTACAGCATAATGACAAACAAGCCGTCAAATTTATTTGAAACACGTGGAATCTTCCACTGCCCGAGGTCTTAGTCGAGAAACTGCGACTCGCAAACAGTGGCGCTCACGCACGGCTCAGTTATTGATCACGCTCTGGGGCACTGTGGAAAGTTCCGCCGCGCCTGCGTTTCCCGTTGGCAGCTGTCCGACGAGAAGGTCGTGCCCTTCAGGCCACGGCGCCGGGCTGTCTACCCTCCCCTCCCACCTCCGCCCCTCCCCTGTCTCAGCTACCTCCTCGCGGACGTGACCGAATCCTCCCGAGACACGGTGTCTGTCGGGGCTGGCAGCCCGTGATCACGTGGCCCGCTAGTGTTCATCGATCCGGGCCAGCCGCCAAAGCGGGCGAATCCTGTTCCGAGTTCGCAGTAGTCGCCGTCGCCAGCTGACACGCCCCTCCCCCTCCCACTGGACACCTCATCCGGCCGTGATGCTGTTGCTAGGCGTGAGAGCCGAGGGGGAGCGGGAGCAGTGCGCGGTGATGTTGAGTAAGGTTTGAGTCACCCTTGGCAGCCCGCCTTCCGTCGTTAATATGAGCTGACATAGGTCAAGACAGTTTAGGAGCTTGGCATGGTTACAAAGAGAGTAATCGTTATCAACGGAAAGACAGCCTCATGATTCTACTCACACTCCACTACTCTATCACGTGTTATCTACACTTCAACTTTATTCGACATGTTTTTAGAAGATACGGCGGTATTTAGCTGTTACATGACGATCATGTAATCCTGATTACTGGAGCTGGTCGATAAGGCTGAGCGCAGTAACAGAATCGACTTCGAAGTGATGAAATACCTATATAACAGAATATAACAGATGTAGTTAACAGAATATAATTATATATAACAGATGTAGTAAATAGGCACATCTCTACAATCATTGACGTGCTGTTTCTATTTGTTGCAGAGAGTAAGCCAGAAGTAAGCAAGATGAAGGAGACAATCATGTCGTCATCGGCGATGATTGTGGTGTCCAACCGTCTGCCGTTTATCCTGCGGGAGGCGGAGGACGGCACCCTGCACAGGAAACAATGGTAAGGAGGCATGATGGGCGATGGCGGCAATCGGTCACAGAAACTTTTCCATAGTGAGGCTGATCACTGAATAATAGAAGGGGAGTGGATGTTGTATATGATAATTCATCTCAACGAGTCGTGCAAAATGCTTTTATTATTGACGGTATGTATCAGTATGTGACCCGTGACCTTTAGTGTGCGACCGGTGTGCCGTGTGACCGCTGACGGTGGTGTGTCGCGCCCTCTGCAGCGCCGGAGGTCTGGTGACCGCCGTGGCCCCCGTGGTGGTCGAGAGCGGCGGCCTGTGGGTCGGATGGCCCGGTATGCACCTCAAGGACTCCAACGTGGCCATACCCGAGTCGGACCCGGAGGACTTGTCACCGTGCGCCGGGCTCAAGTCCAAACAGGTCAGTCATGGCCTGTCACACAGGTCATTTTCGTATACACAGTTGATGAGACAAGCGGTACAAAAGACCGACGCAATGAAAATGCTACGGCTCAACGCGCAAAAATACTGGAAGATAGCCTGCACCGCAATACACAGTTACTGGGAACTAGGCTGCACCGCACAGCACAAACGCCCTTGATGTATGTTGCGCGGCAGTGAACGGCTCTGAAGCTTGCATCGGCATTGCCCTTTAATGCAGAACTCTCTGGTTCGTTGTCAGAACAAAGTGGTGGTGACTGGTGTAACTACCATAACAGAGGTTTCAATCGCTTAATGCAATAATTACTTACGTAGCCGGTGTTGGCTCACGTATTTTTGACAATACTTGATTGGCTATCTCTTCCACTTCTTTTAACCGGTGTATACTAGCGCAGTTTATTGGCGTGCGGCTGTCGTGCCCGCCAGTAGTAATCGTATGAGGTTACCGCCCGACACTCGACCCCGATCACGGCACTCGTGCCATCCGCTCGTTTGATGGCTCATGTCGTGACGTCAGAAGGGCCTGGCCGGCTAGCGACCAATGGGACCACAGACAGCGAGTTTCCTCAGAACCCAATCCGGTACGATCCGGATCGCTGGGTGAACCGCGTGTTTTTTTTTATGGACGATGTCATGTGATTGCGGAACATAAAAACTTAAAATGAATCAGTCCAAGCGCAGAAATATACACACAAAAAAAACGATGGTAGGTGCTGTGACATGTGCTACCTGGATTTTGTCTCTCATTGCAATTTACAGCATGAAGTATGGGCACCAAATATACTGCTAGAGTGCACTAAAGCACACTAAAAGTCAAATTACAGTCAATATCAATGAAGCGTCTGTCTGTAGGTAAGCACTACAGCCCCCACAGTGCACACCACACCATACTAGCAAAATCAATGTTTTTGTGCTGTTTTTAATGCCCCTGCACGACCCCTCCCGGCCCTGACCCACTCATATGACGTCATTTCCAGGTGGTGACTGTCAACATGGACAAGAACACGTTCGACGGTTACTACAACGGCTGCTGCAACGGCACCTTCTGGCCGCTGTTCCACTCGATGCCGGACCGCGCCATCTTCAAGGCAGACTACTGGGAGGTGAGCTCAACGTTCAGCTGTTCTCCCCTGTCGGAAGGTGTTTGACCACCGTTTTATGTTGTTAAGTAGTCCGTGTGTTAAATTGTTCTCCGAGATGCGTGAGATACTGGTGCTTATGCTTTGATCGCGGGATAAAATCACATGATGCGCTGTAGACATGCATCATATTTTCCTCTCGTTCAGCCGAAATGGCCCCCTCCAAGCTCATTGCTAGCATCATAATGCGAGTCTTCTACTACTCTTGCTATAATGGCGAAACCTCCGTTCCATCGCTTCCATCCTCAGGACATAGAAATCCTTCTCCTCCACGCCGCAACCCCCACTCCGGGCTGGACAGGCACCTTTATCTCATGCGGGCTGCTCCCTTGGAGCGGCACCGCTGCTCCCGAGGGAGCGCACCCCGTAGCCGGGTGCAGAGAGTGCTTGGGGGGCTGGTCGGCCTGTCCTTTCGGACGGGCTCAGCCCCGGCGACTCTCTAGGGTGTCTGCCCAGACCAATGTCTCCCCCTAATTCCTATCATCCTTCCGGTCCTGAAATGGTCTCGTCAGACCGAAAGGGCCTAACCCAACAAAACAAAAACAAATAATGGCGAAACATACTCTCCGCTTCGGATGTGTAAGATTTTTTCAAATATAACTTACGATTCCGAACACAATCCAAAGCAACAAAGAAGTCATAAAGACTTTGCGACTGACTCAATCTGAGCACGTGGCACTGGTCGTGCCCGGAACTCTCCAGAGGCTCATGGTACACGCCATAAACAGCATATGCTGAAGCGCGACTGTCTCAGCTCGAGTATCGACGGTCTGTCAGTTATGGAACTGCAGCGTCCTTGGTATACTACCCCGCCCAAAGTCCGCGCAGTAGCGCCCATTCAACCCCTGATCCAGACAGGGGCAAAACTCGAGCACAGCTCCCGCACGTGATCAGCGGCGTGGCGCAGTGTCCCCGGTGGTGCGCACTTCAGTCGCGCTTGTTGACGCCGTCTGACGGACACCTTCGATCGGTCCGTTCACGCGCGCACCACGTGTCTCCCTCGACGCAAACAGGCTGGCGCCACCGTCAGTTTGCTGAATCGTACCAGATGTTATCCGAAACGACCTGTCTCAGACGCTGAGAATGGCTCTCGCTCGATATCAGCTGCGTGACAGCGGTTCTGAACCCTGAACCGGCGCGTGTTTATGGTATACGTGTGCTACCGGCCGATGAAGAATGTTTGTTTTAATAACGCTGAATTCAAAACACCAGTATGAAAAACATGCCCATTCGTTTTCGGTGAGTGCGACGTGTTGCCACTTAGCCCACTTTCTTCTGTCAGTCACCCATCTTGCTATTTTACATGGCCTTGATGGAGGGGAAGGTACGAAGAAATCGTGATAATATTTTTCAATACCAGACATATTTATCACCAGCCTGACCCCTTTACCACCAAAGCTTACAGCAATTTGCACGGCGGACAAACGATGGTCAACGCCCTTGCGAATTCCTGTGGCCGGCTCCGTACCATCACTCTCCCTCTCCACTGCCACACACCCTCCGTATCGGCTTACCGTTTACACCCTGAGTCCATTGACACACCCCCTTGGTCGTCCCTGCAGGATTACAAGAAGGCCAACCTGGAGTTTGCCGATATGACCATCCGCGCCCTGGAGCTGATGTACAAGGAGCGCGGCAACGAGCTGGCGCAGGCTGACGAGGCTCCCCTGGTGTGGATTCACGACTATCATCTGATGCTGGCGGCCAACACCATCAGACAGGTCAGTTCGACAGACCGGTTAGACGTTCAGGCATGTCAGTTCAAAGGACCGGTGAATAGGGTTCTCAGGGCCGGGGACAGTCGAAGACAGTGACCGAGAACGAGCTACGGCTCGTTCTGGAGCTGGATAGCTTGGAGTCGTTGGTATTAGCTAGCAAATGATGAAAAGATATCAATTGATCAACAGGTGTTGAGATGAGCAATGTTTTATTTTAGGAATTATTGTAACTAAATAGTTCCGTTTGCAAATTAATGTCAGGCTTTGTTTGCATGGTTCCAATGTTTATTGATCTGGCTAATATTGAGTGCAAAATCTTTATACGCCCGTTAGAGATTACGCAAGTCGTGCTTTTTATTTGATTCATTACTTATGCACTTCTATCCGGATTTAGAAGAATGAGAGATGTTTTGTTTATAATCATTATCCCTTTCAGTGCTGAAAAAATAGAATGCACGAATATTGCGCCAGCGGGCATCTGGCGCCGTGACGCTTCTGCCCGCGTCAAATAAACAGAGGGCAGGTTATAGAGGGGGCATAGGGTTACCGACGGTACATTGTAGTAAACGGTATGCTCCTGCTTTTCTGGAAATAAATATAAATGTACACAAGTTCAAACTTAGGGAACGTTAAAATATGTTTATGACTTGCCTCAAATTATGCAAATGGGACATTTTAACGACAATTTCCTCTTCATTCATTTATAGATTTGACTGGTGTAAGATTCTACCAGATATGTTTTATAATAGCATACATTAATATTAAAGCATCAAAATGTACAATGTTTGGCAAGTTAGCACTTCTGTGAAGCATCTCGCTCCTCTGGGAGCGCGGAACTGACCAAACACGGATGGCAGTGGGTGCGCAGTTTCGTGTTTTCCTCACACTCGGTCTCTGTTCAGCGCTCACAGTGGAGCCGTAAACATGCCACTGTCTGTGGTCGCAGTGGTAGATAGAGCCCAGGCCTCGCTCTGTCCCGAGCCCCGGTCTAATAGCGGTATAGCGGTATGTGGGCACCCGGCACAGTGTGTGCGTGGGGGTGGGGGGGGGGGGCTGAGGTGTCGATAACAGCACCGGAACGATGCCGTCTGGTTCTAACTGGTCAGCGGTACAGTTTATTGTTACAGAAGCGGGGGAGTGTCATGCCTGTACTTTTGACAGTGCTGCTGTGCGCCGTCCAGATGATGACAAGTGAACAGATAAAATGGTCCTGGGAGGCAATGAGGAAGGATGGCTCGCTGTAAGTTATCCATCTTATCAACAACTCACGTTGGTTGCTTGTTTGTCTCCAGAAAGCGGAGGAGAAGAATCTCAGATGCAAGCTTGGCTTCTTCCTGCATATTCCGTGTCCCAGCTGGGACATAATGAGGCTGTTCCCGTGGGACGATGAGATCCTCCAAGGCATGCTCGGTAAGTCTTTCATCGATAAATCGATACTTTTAATTTGTATTGCGCCAGGCTCTGGTGGTGCGTATCATGCCTAAGGTTGCGAGCTGTGTAGTGGAACGGTTCCTCTCGTTCCCGGCACACTTGAGTTTGGAGAGCAGTCGGAGACAACAAACCAGTTGTCAAGTACGCACTACCAAACTTGGAACTGGGTCGATGGCTGCCACTTAATCTTTGAAGTGTGTACTTGATCCATCAAACTCGCACGTAGCGACATTGAAACGCTGCTCGTAAACGGTCACTCTCGGCAACACAGTCGAGATGATACTGAAGTGGCCTTTGTTTAGTGTGCCAGACCTTTGGAATGTAGAGCTCTTGCTCTTCCCGTTGCAGTTTCTGGCTTATTTTGTACGCAAAAGAAAAACGCGCGGCTGTTATTTTAGCCGTGTGCTACAGCTTCTATAGTGCGTCTCCCTAGCTGTAACATTTTCTCGTCATGTATGGACAGCACCACATGACCTATTCTAACTATTCGCCTGCAGGCTGCGACATGGTGGGCTTCCACATCGAGGACTACTGTTTCAACTTCATCGACTGCTGCCAGCGCCGTCTGGGCTGCCGTGTCGACCGGAGCAACATGCTGGTGGAGCACGGAGGACGCACGGTGCGCGTCCGCGCCCTTCCCATCGGTGAGACCTCGTCCGGAGGCCGTGGGTCGATTCCTCGGGCATAGTGGGAGGTGGGTAGATTTCTGCATTTGATCTCATCATACGGCATTGCAAGACGTTGAGCTAAACGGTTTAGAATAATCGGAATCTCGCGCGACATACGAGGCCTATTAGGCTATTAAATCGAGGTTATCTGTTACGGGGATGTAGCGTTCAACGAGGGTGTCGCATGTATTCTGTAGGCCGTCTGAACACTGCTCTGTTTGGAGAAAGTCTTTTTCGAGGCTTGAGCGCATACCTAGTAACTAGTCTCGAATATCTCGTTACATAAAGTTTGTTGCGTAACTCATCGAGTGTTTGCAGATCAAACATCCTGAGCCCTGCTATCATTAATAATCCGCAGACTTCACAGGCCAACTTTCGTAACTGGATATCATCCCACCGGCAAATAGCATATGTCAATAGTGTTCCACGCCAGCGCGATGATGATAGGTCCTGTTGACAGATAATATCTTCTTTTATTAGTCTTGCAACACTCCGAGCAGTTTGAGATCCTTGAGTAATCTGAATCGTCGCAGTTCCTTTTGCGCATGGGAGGTCCACAAACTAAAAAAAAAAACTAAACGTCTTACCACAAAGAGCCGTCGAGCCCGGGGTCGCACGTTGCTTCTGGTGGCACAGTGCATCGGCCCTCAACTGCGTCTCGAATAGTGTCGGGAGTCATCCAGTCTGACCCGCTCCTGTCATAGGATCCTGTCATGTCGGCGATAAACGCCACTGTTTACTCATTTCGTACTCATCGATAAGAACTTCTTAAATGCGAAGTCGAAAGAAAAATGTGACCTGATTATTCAGCACATACCAAGCTCAGTTTGCTGCTCAGGAGCTATCTCCGCCAATGTCGAACGTAAACTATACCCAGTTGACCTTTTGAGGTGTGCGAGCCTTGCACAGTAGCCCCTCGCTACCCAATGCTGACCGGATCCCTCTTTCTTTCGTTGCAGGCATTCCGTTTGACCGGTTCAAGTCCCTGGCGGCGTCCGCGCCGAGAACGTTCTCCGATTCTCAGCAGCTGATTCTGGGCGTTGACCGCCTGGACTACACCAAGGGTCTGGTTAACCGGATCCGCGCCTTCGAGAGGCTCCTGGAGAAGCACCCGGAGTACATCAACAAGGTCACCTTCCTCCAGGTAAGTGGCTGCCCGCGGTGGTGATCCTGCTCGATATCCGATCCTTCTTTAAGGAACACAAGGGCTAGAGTTTCGGGAGAGTACTTCTTATCTCACGTTTTATCCTCCGTAATGATGCTGGTCTTTGTATAGCTGATACTCTATTGATTTTACGACGTCGCCAGTCCATGGAGGTCTTAATTGCCTCAATATTGTGACACGTCAAATCCCGCAGGTTCTAAATCAATAGCGCTTCCTCTGTCTCTCGCCAGGTGGCAGTGCCTTCGCGCACCGACGTCAAGGAGTACCAGGAGCTGAAGGAGGAGATGGACATGCTGATCGGCCAGGTGAACGGCCGCTTCACCACGCCGATGTGGTCTCCGATCCGCTACATCTACGGCTGTATCAGCCACGAGCAGCTGGCTGGATTCTACCGGGACGCATCCGTGGCACTGGTCACCCCGCTGCGCGACGGCATGAACCTGGTGGCCAAGGAGTTCGTAGCCTGTCAGACCGAGGAGGACCCGGGCGTGCTCATCCTGTCACCGTTTGCCGGTTAGTGAGAGAACGGTGCAGGAGGGAAACGGGGGATGTATGGGTTGAGAAAGGAAGTGAGATAAGGCTCTTAACCGCATAAGAGTTTATCCGGCTTATTTGTAACCGTTACTTTCTCCAACAAAGATCGGCTGTCTATGTTCGGCTATTAACTTTAGGTGGTGCCCTTCCATCGGCAGGTTCTGGCGCTCAGATGATGGAAGCGCTGCTGGTGAACCCGTACGAGATCGATGACGTCGCCGAGACCATCCACCGCGCGCTTACCATGGACAAGGACGAGAGGCGTCTCCGCATGACCTGCCTGCGGAGACGCGAGAAGCAGTACGATGTCACATTCTGGCTGCGCTCCTTCCTCAAGGTATGAAGGCGATTTAATGTTTTTCATATTTTTACTATGCAGACATCATTTCGGACCGATAATTCTACTCTTGTGTACGCTGTTTTTGTTTCTATGCAGAACTTTGTCACAATGATAAAACGCAAGATCTGTGTTCTCGTTTTAAGTGACAGGTAGCGTAGTTGAAGGAGCACACTGCGGAGCACTACACAATAAGCCCCTGGACTTGCCACAGAACCATGGAAGCTGACCTCTGTACTTTTGTCGCCAGGAAATGGGCACGCTGAGACGCGAGGACGGCGACCAGGTGCGTCCCACCCAGCTGATGCCTGTCAGCATGGCGGACTTTGACGAGTACCTGCGCGACTACATCAAGCCCACGGACCGCGTGGCGCTGCTGCTCGACTACGACGGCACTCTAGCACCGATCGCCAAACACCCCGACTTCGCCACCATCCCGGTCGAGACGAAGAGAGTCCTGGAGCGACTTGCCAACGTCTCGTCCGTCAACATCGCCATCATCTCTGGCCGCAGCCTGGAGAACGTCCGCAGCATGGTCGGCATCAACAACATCACGTATGCCGGCAACCACGGCCTGGAGATCCTGCATCCGGACGGCACGAGGTTCGTGCACCCGGTACCCAGCGAGTACGAGGAGAACCTGAGCGGTCTGCTGCGCGCGCTCCAGGAGCGCTGCTGCCGCGACGGCGCCTGGGTCGAGAACAAAGGCATCATCCTCACCTACCACTACCGCGAGGTACCCATCGAGAAGCGCCCTCCACTCGTGGCTGAAGCGCGCAAGCTCTTCACAAAGTTCGACTTCACGCCTTCGATGGCTCGCTGCGCGATCGAGGCCCGGCCGCCGGTGAAGTGGAACAAGGGCCGCGCTTCCATCTACATCCTGCGCACCCTGTACGGGCTCGACTGGCAGGAGGGTGTGCGCGTGCTGTTCGCCGGCGACGACAACACCGACGAGGACGCCATGAGGATGCTCAAGGGCATGGCGGTCAGCTTCCGCGTGACGGCATCTTCGTCTGTGCGCACGGCTGCCAACCGGCGCCTGCCTGACACCGACTCCGTGCTGATGATGCTGAAGTGGGTGGAGCGGCAGATGGCTGCGTGCAGGGCGCGCCGCAACACTCCCCCCACCTCTGGCTCGCCGCCGCCCGACGGCACCAAGCTGCTCAACTTCCAGATGTCCATGGAGGAGGGCGAGATGGAGCACATCATGGAGAACGGCCGAGGCCGGGGACGCAGGCCGTCGCCCAGCGCCATCGAGATCGTGCCCGAGGTGCCCAACGGCGCGTAGTCGCGGCAAGACGTGCAGCGCTGGACGCTGGCGGGGGTGGGGTTGGCAGAGGGTGGACCGAGAGGAGTTGCTGGCGCAGCAGCTGATGAAGCCGATCTGGGGAGACTGGCAGGGACAGTCTGAACGGGGCGAGACGAGATGGCGACAGCTTCGCCAGCCGCGCCCGTCGAGCGATTGTATTTGTTGTGTAGCTTCTTGGTGTTGCTGACGCCAATAGAGGCTCGTGATTGTTATTTTGCTTTCACAGCAAGCATTCTCTCACAGACGCATGCACACATACACACATGAATCCAGAAAGGTAAGATATCGCGCCTTTATTTAAAGACCTTCCCATGAGCGAGTCTCGGTACATATATATCGGCAATCTCCGCCCCTGAGTATTTTACCGCGTTGATATTCGGAGCCGCCATTGTGTAAAACCACGCATATTGTCGCTTTCCGTTGTCTTCCATTGCGATATATTTTGGACAACGCGCAAGCTTGACTGCTGAATGGCCAGCGATGGCCAGTGTTCTACCTTACGCTGTTGTTTTTGAGATCTTGTGAAGCGTACATATGGGCAGTGAAAGGATTAGGGTACAAGTTTCTAGTAATTATACTCAGACTTGGCCACTGTTTGTATTTCAGACATGGTGTTGACAGAGCGCTTTCTGTGTATTGTAGATTGTGTTTTCTATGACTGTGCTCTAAATATATTGCATTGTGAGCAAATAATGACTGTGTCAATCGGTGACTAGGCTATGCGTTTGCCGGCGAGAAGGATCGCAAGAGAGCAGGAAGGCACTGAATGAGAGAGACAGGAGAGGGGAAGAGAGGGAGAGAGAGAGCGAGAAGCAGGGAGAATGAAAGAGAGTGATAAGAAAGAGAAAGACGGAAAGTGGAAGAGACTGAGTTGGAGGAATAAATCTTAGAGAGAAGAGCGTTCGAATAGGTGATTAGTTGAACTTCCCGATGCTTGCATGAAGGGTGGGAAAAACCATCTTTAGAACAGCTCGGTAGAATCGTAGACCTAAGAATACCCTGACTGGGCAGAGGAAACATGGTAGTCTCAGTGACCATAGTCCAAAATGACCCTAAAGTACACGTTAATAATTCGATCATGTCCATGAGCATCTACGAGATGGATTTCTCTCATGCAACGGTGAAGAAATTGGTTTCGTAGGTACTCTGCTTCCCAAATTATGAACGTTAACTCCTATGGTCGTTGTACTCCTGGACAGAATTTCTGCGTCCAGTCTTAGTGCACGGAGAACAGAGCTATAGGGGAGAGTGGGGCAAAGCGGCCACCCGGGGCAAAGCGGCCACCCATCGTTTTAGCCCTTCATAGCTGGCGTCAGTTCCAATTTATGGTTTCCAATTATACTTCTCTTCACGGTCGTTCGAATGAGCCAGACCGGGGTTTCAGGCCCATCACCATTGTTCTGTGAAACACAGAAAAGCATTTCTTGCCAGGTTACCAACTATGTTTACAATTTTTAAATGTTATGTTATTTCATAACCGTTTGGAATTTTTATAAGCGTTCTTGTCCATGCATTGCATTGTTATCGTACATGTATTCTACCAATTTTAATGTTTTTTACCCCACTAATAGCTAAGCTGGAATATTTTTGTCTCGGACGGTATACGCGGGGCAAAGTGGCCGGGGCAAAGTGGCCACCCCCCAATTGGCCATAAGTTGTTTCCATCTGGATAAAAAACATTATTTATATTCAAATGTGTCGTCATGCATTCATCTTGGCCACTTTTCAGTTGCATGAGTTACCAAATAATGCCATTAAATGTCTTTTCATGAAAATCCTTTCTTTGTTTACCTACAGGTGGGATGCTAACAAAGCAAACATCCATCCTCGCTTAAACCTTGTCACCATCAAATACCCTAGTCGTACATGAGGCAAATATTTTGTTTCTCATATTGGGACTTGAGAAGACGCCGGTGGCCGCTTTGCCCCAGGGTATGGGGCAAAGTGGCCAATATGCATAGGTTTAAAGTTTTGTCAATATCTTCCATATGTGAACGCCTTTGGAAATAAAACGCAGTTGAAATGAAAGGCAACTTAATAGGGATCACATTGGTATAGAAAGAATCTTTCCAAGTTTAAAAATCAAGCATTGGCACCGTGAGAAGCGTTAGGGTGGCCGCTTTGCCCCACTCTCCCCTACAGAGGTCCATTAATCACACTAGGCTCCATTGCGCGGTTCCTGGCAATGAAAATTGACCTTACCCTGGGTCACCCATATAAGAACTTCGAGATAGGTAAGTCTTTCATCATCCTGTCACCCCTGCAATCGCCCGAAGTTCAAAACAATAAAATTAATCAAGCAGTCGAGCGAAGGCGAGCGAAGTAATGGAATTATAAAGGGAGCGTTGAGCAAAGGTTTCAATGAGATTGAGATATGTCTGGTCGACTTGTCAGCAGTAGCTGAAATTAAAGTTAAATGAGCATGCCACTATGCATAGGCATGATGGCATATAGGTACTCACTGGATACCACTAGATACAGCAGAACTTGAGTCCTGATTTTCAGTGAGCCTCTAGCCTCTGAGGGCAACAGATATTATAGCGTGACTCTGTCGGTAGCGGCGGAACACCTTCAATTAAGGGGGGGGGGGCACTGCCGAATTAAAGTTCCATTCTTTCCATGCAACGCCCATAGGGCTAATGCAAAAATGCCGAAATCAAAGGGGGCACGGTGCCCCGGTGCCCTCCCCGTTCCGCCGCCTATGGACTCTGTGACATTTGCTTTTGTTTATGACAGTGCTATCCATTACTAAATGTCACGAGCGGTGTTTGCGCACTGACGAGACTAAACTCGAACCGGTGGTCCTATTCTCTGCTGACCCCTTCAATGGGCCCACCAGACGCAATGACCCAGATATCGGCCGGCCAAGGACCGTCATAAACCATGGGACACGCAGCCAGGCCGGGCCGGGTTGGGTTGCTACCGATGCCCCGTGCTCCGGGGCGATGTTCGCTGCTGATTCGGGGCGATGGGACCCGTGTTTATCACGTCTGCTCGTCAGTCAGCGGACCAGAAGACGTGTGTGGTGACAGGAACACGACGCACGCCCGGTCGTTACTCATGAAGGCCGGACGGTGGGCACGGCGGGGTCGTGGCAGGCAGTGGTGTGGTGGGGTCGGTGATGGGGAGATAGGGTAATCGGGAGATGAGGCACTGAATTGGAATATTGCACCCGTGACCCCTCGTCATATCCCTGAGGTCATCTGAGGTCATAAAAGGTCTCCTGCGGCTATTTACAATAACTCTAGACAGAAGCATTCTAAAGCGATTAAACACCTTGGAAGCGTTCAGGTCAACGATACGAGTCGACTGACGTGCAACATGACCTTTGGAAGGTCCTGACCTTTACCTTAGGTCAAATTTTGAAGTTGACCTTTTCAGGTCAACGTATAGTTCATTAGACGCGTCTCAACGAGAGCAATGCGATGCTGGCAAAATCAACAAAATACAAGCTTTGTGTCGGAAATGATTGCAGAGAAAACTTTTCCACAAATCAAAAAATTTAGTGTTTACTCTCTGGAGACTAAGCCGTTGACTCTGTGTCTAATTTGAGCACAGGATTCAGAAGGACTTCTTTAAGAGCTTTCAAATGCGCATTTCAGCGGCGCTGCATGCTCTTTAAGTTCCCGAGTTATGCGCCGATTAGTGAGAAAAATTGTCAGACTCGGGAAAATATTTGTGACAGTTTTAATTTGGGTGACCTCCCGTGACCTCAGCTATAACCTGATCGGAAAATGAAGTGCATAATTCTGAAAGATCTTATAGCGAGCTATATATTGCTTTTTCGCATCTTTCTAGCTTTCTTTAAGTTTCCAAGATAACTCCGGCTGTGGCCAAATAACACCCTCCCTCCCCCCCCACACACACACACCATGGCGAAGTTGGCGGAGACCCCACAGAGCACGGGCTAAATATGAGCTGTCTTAGTTGACAGGCATTACAGCATAATTTTTTAGAACAGGAATCCCAAGGAGAAAATAAATTTATTGATTCATATGAAGGTAAGCATGAATGTTACACAACATTTTTGCAAACTGGACGGCTCATTACTGCAACCTTTTATGACTGTTTTGTCCTGGTCAGTGGTCATGCTGTGGGCATATTGACGCTGGATGGGAGGTCGCAAGAGCTAATGAGCCCGTTACTACCGCTGCAAGTAGTGGTGGTCCGCAGAACCCAGGGTCTGTTGGTGCACCAGACCCGGTCGCGTTCCTAACAATGCGGACGTAAAACATGCCCACTTGCAGGGATCGTGTGACTGACTGCTCATATCACGCGACTCGGCAGACCCCAGCTCACGTGACAGTCTCGGTCCGCATGGTACGGACACCTGTGACTGAACGGACAGGCCCGGACTGATGTCGCCACGCCGCTGCTTTGTTTACCGGGCCGCGGAGGCTGGTCTGGGGGCCGGACCAGACCCGTCTGGGTCTGTTCAGCGTGCGTCACTGCGGGCGTTGCCGAGCCCCCTGGTCGGCAGCCGCGCCCCCGGCGGCGTCCCAGACCCCGCCTCCGAGCGTCACCGCCACCACCGAACACCAGGGTTCGTTTCATCAGCCGAGAAAGAGTGCACGAGGACTCGTTGTTGACCTGCCTCGCGGCGGTTCTGGACCCTGCAGTTTATCCGATAAAAACTAGGCGGCGTAGAAAGTCACGGGAAGGGTCAAGGAAGTACAGGGACCCTCGCCAATGTGTGGGAAATGGAGCAAGAATTATAAACAGAGACTACTCCTTATGCTTTTTGGATTTTCCCTGCAATGATTGTTAGCAATTTTGTAGGTAGGAAAGTCCAAGCAGACTTAACCCTCGCCCGCACATGCCATTTTCCCATCCTAGAACGCACATGGGGGGGGGTTGCCACCCCCCCCCCCGCGCCATTTCGTTCCTGTTGGAGATAGAGCTTAGCGGTAAAGACCAAAAAGATTCTTTGGGAAGAGACGAATCCAATGATACCCAGTTTTACCTCCTCAGGTCAGTCATTGACCTTCCAGGTCAGGTCAAACTAAAAAATGTTGCTGTTTTGGGTCACCGTTGGATATCAAGTGCGCTGCTTATCAAATACCGATGACGATGCTGTTTTCTGGTGCCAAGCCAGCTAGAACCTCTTTGTCACACTACCCGACCAGAATTTTGCTGCTGAGGTCATTTCAGGTCAAGTTAGGTCATGGTCAATTATATGTGTTTGTATGTCTGTGTGTGTCTGTGCGTATACTGATGTGTGCACCGATTGTTTTTGGGTCCATATTACATGAAATCATGATCTGAGAAGCTTTTACCAAAAATGCAGTCAAAAAACTTCACAAAAAGTAAATTCAGCTTGCCTAAAATGCAATTATCTTATATGACCTAGGTTGACCTTGACCCTGCCCTTGACCCCTGTACATCGTCAAACAACATGCTCCATGATAGATGGGAGGTAAGACTGGCAAAAAAAGGCCGAAATCAGGGTGTCAAAAGCCCACAAGGCCCATGGCAAACGCAAGATGTTGAGAATTGGCCATTTGGGTCATGACATGACCTAAAAAACAAGGTCATATCTCCGAAACCAAAAATTACAGAAACTTGAAATTTTCAGTGGACATCAAGAAAGGATAGAGGAGCAGCTATACGAAAAATCAGCCTTCTAGCTCTAAAAATGTCGAGTGCAGAGCAGAAAGACTACCTTGGGGGAGGTGGCAACCCCCCCCCCCCCC